AGGACGCAGATGATTTAAATCTCTCTCGACCCAACAGTAGGGAAATCGTCTTGCTTCCTGGATGAAAACCTCCATCTTTGGGTGAAGAAATACAGCAAGCGTGTTTCTTGCATTACAGGGCTCGGGAAGCAAAATTATTTCAAAGATGCATGGTTGCAGGAACTGGGCTTGGCTAGTCTAGTGAAGAGAAGGAGCAAGGGAGACAGGAGAGCATCTTTCAGTATTTGAGGAAGGGGATGCTCCAGAGAGGAGGAGGAAGGGGGTCAAGCTATTCTCCAAAGCACAAGAAAGAAAGCAAAAGAAAGAAAGAAAGAAAAGAAAGAGAATGAGAGAGAGAAAGGAAAGAAAGGAAAAGAAAAAGAAAAAGAAAGAAAGAGAAACATCTTCAGTAAAAGGTGAAAGATTTATATGACCTGAAGAGAAACCAGAGAATTGCAGTGGAAACCTGAATTGTACCTTCTGGGTATAATCAAACGGGATCACCTTCTCAAAGTTTATTCATGTAGTAACAGCGATTAGTATATTATTCACATACTAACAGCGGCGTGAATCTCACTGGCACAATATTGGAAAATGTCCAACTTACCACCTATACACATTATTATTCAGAAAACTTATGAATGTGCTGAAATGGAAAGGCTTACGCTAAAACTAAAAGGGAAAGAGGATTCTGAATATTATTCGATTTGGGATAAATGGTACAACTGGATAGACTGTAAGAAAAAGAATGTATAAAATAAATGAACCCAGGAAATATATTACTACATATATGTCTAATGACAGGAATTTATAAAATATTAGTTTTATTTCTCTTATTGAATAAGTTATATAAAGGATTTATTTACAATATAACGCAGTTATAATCCAATGACAACAACAGACTATTAGATAATATATAATATAGATAGTATTTAGTTAATAAGGGATAAGGAATATTTTCCATTCAATATCTGTTATGAGTTACTCAAATCACTACCAAATGTATTAGAGAGAAATATGATTTGTGCTGATGTCTATTTGTATGATTATTCCTTTTTTTATTCTTGTATACTTGTATATTTTAATCTTTTGTACTAAATAAAGTATTTTTTAAAATTTAATTTAAAAAAGGATGGACCATGGATGGACCGAAGACTTGTCTAGTTTAAGGAAAAGAAGGATGGGGTGACAGGATAGCAGTATTCCAATATATGAGGGGCTGCCAAAGAGATGAGGAGGTGAAGCTATTTTCTAAAGCACAAGAAAGAAAGAAAAAGAAAGAAAGAAAGAAAGAGAGAGAGAGAAAGAAAAGAGAGAGAGAGAAAGGAAGGAAGGAAGGAAAGAAAGAAAGAAAGAAAGAAAGAAAGAAAGAAAGAAAGAAAGAAAGAAAGAAAGAAAGAAAAAAAAGAGAGAGAGAGAAAGAGAAAGAAAGAAAGAAAGAAAGAAAGAAAGAAAGAAAGAAAGAAAGAAAGCTGAGCCTCACTGGAGGCTTTCAGGAAGAGACTGGATTGTCATTTGTCAGAAATAGTGTAGTAGGGTTTTCTGCTTGGGCAGGGGGTTGGACTAGATGACCTACAAGGTCCCTTCCAACTCTGAGCATCTGTTATCTGGTGAAAGAACTTGTCTGGTGGCCAAGGGAGAAGACGGCCAGCCAATTTTTTGAAGGAGCCCCTTCATGCTGAAGACTTTTGGAGCCTCTCTTGTGCCCCCTTCCTCCTCGTCTTTACACCCGGGTGTCCCTTGCGTACATCTTGGCCGTGGCAGTCGGCACAGACGGATGGCAGGAGTAGGTCATGGCAGGAGGCAGGTAGACCTTCCGTAAAGCCCCGGAATAAAAGTCCTTCTCTGAGTTGGCATCTAAGAACCGAGAGACGAAAGACAAGAGACACGGCTTTAGCAAACTGGCAATCGTGGACCTTGTAGTATCTGTGGCTAAACTCTTGGAGTAAGAGGTTCTCCAGGGGTAGGCAAGACAGCCAAGGGAAAATATGCCACAGAGCACATGCAGGTAGCCAAATGTAGGGTGTGTGTGTGTCTGCGGCTCTTTAAAGCAGCTGCCTCTGCACTGATGAGGTTAGCTAGTTGGGTCATGAAATGTCTGCAAGAGGACAGCGGAGTTCCGAGAGCAGCCAGGGCCCCTCGTGTCAACCCTGACCTACCAAGATCCTCCTCCGTGAGGGTCTGAGCTCACCTTGGAGGAGGCGCCCGCAGCAGGTTAAGAAGGCCCCAGCCAGGAAGCACCCCAAGGAGCCGCCCAGTCCGAGCCAGCAGGACCAGCCAAACTTATACTGGGTGCCCACAAAGACGTTGTGCAAGACCAGGGCGGAGCGCTCCACGTAGACCTCAATGGCGTACCAGGTGGAGCCGATGAGT